CCCTACACGACGCTCTTCCGATCTCCCCAAAACCCCAAAACCCCAAGAATTAAAATCATAGTAATTTTATCATGAATTCACAGAATAAAAATAAAAAAATAATTAATTAATTATAAAATGAGATTGATTGCAACTTTGATTCATGCTTTCTTTTGGATAGCTATTGATCAACTGCAATAATCAAAAGCGAACTATTTTGAGAACCAGAAATAAACCTTTCAGAGTAAAAAAGAGAAAATTGATATTACTATTAATGAGCAGTTGAGTCAACAAATTGAATAGAATGAGATCTCTCTTTTTAATCAAAAAATAAGAAATTTATAGAATAGAATTTTCCCTTAGTAAACTGAATCTGAGTAGTCTAGTGGCATTTAAGATATTTTTGATTTTTCAACTTGAGATCACCACCTAATGAGTCCTGATATGGATGAATTTTTCAAAATAATAAATCCGTTGACGAGAGATAGATCATATTTTATGCAATAAATTGAAGACAGTTTATATTTTAATGAATAATCAAAGAGGAAATAAAAAAATAAGATAAAAGGCACTTTTGATAATTAGTGGGAAAGCATTTAAAGGGTATTTGATAAAAACAAATATTATCAGAGATGACATGCTTTTGAGATGGATGAACTCAGTCATAATGAGTATTATTTTACTCCTTTTAATGAGAGGCTCAGAATTCTAGTAAGAGAGTTGATTTAATAAGCAAGTCAATGGGTAGATAAAAGTCTTATGCTTTTCATAATGAATAATATGATTTTCAGTCTACTCATGGGATATATTTTGATTCTGCTTTGTTTCTAATTATTAAAAACTCTTCGAATTAGGATCACCTACTCGCTATGGTGGAGATGGAGAAATGCATAAAATAACAATAGAAATATATAGGAGGTAGTAGGTATTCCCCACGATGATAAAAATATTTATCCTGGTTACCCAGTGCATTTATGAGTGTTAAATGAAATGATAAAAGTTACTAATATTTTGAAAATGAATAAAAGATAATTTATTAACTATAATATTGAGATTTAACATTGATGTTTGGGGTTTTGGGGTTTTGGGGTTTTGGGG